GACCTTGGTGTAGGATATTTAATGAGATCTCAGAAGAGGAATCATAATCCAGCATCCATCACAGGCTGTAATTAACTCTTCAAGTTCTCTGCTTTCCCTACCCTTTCATCCTGAGGCTTTGGAAAAGTTGATAGAGACTCAGAGAGAAGACTAAATGAATTACAACAACAACTAAGTTCGTGAAGGGTGAAAAGAGAAATTCACCCACAATCTTTCAGATTAAATAGAAGGTCTGGGTAAAACAATTTATATCACCCATAAGCAGTATGAAAATAATGGCTTTACAGTCATCTAATTATTCTTTTGGGCGAAAAAAAATAAACAAGAAGGAAGGAAGGGAATAAAAAATATTGAATGAAAAAGGTGGGCAAGGTAGATAAAAAATATATTTTGGGAAGTAGAAAAGGAAACCTTCATGAGCCATATGTAGAGTTTAATTGGTAAAGACCAATTCAATTACATTTTCCAAAAGGAACTCCAACAATAGAAGATAAAACAAAATAACATGAAAGGTAAAATTGTAAAACTAAAGATGAAAAACAACAAAAACACAAATCAGGATACTGAATCCAATTAAACTTAGATCTCAAGATTATACAACTGGAGACGATGATGGTTAACAAAACAGAATTTTAAGGTCATAAATTATGGAAAAACACTGCTACCTCAAGGTAGCAGGAGCACATGTAATAACACTAACATCAATATAAACTCTCATAAGCTAACATTAGTTTTATGTAGTTAATATGTGCAAGGCACAATCCTATTCATTTTATACATGCATTATCTCATTTATTCCTAAAACAACTTTATACTTATAACGTGTCTTAACCCCATTTACTAGTTGAGAAAATTAAGGAGTGGGAATACTAATTTTTCCAAGTGAAGAAAACTGACATTTAAATCCAGCCATCCTGATTCCAGAGTTTCCCTTATTTTCCACTGTTACCCATAACATTTCATTTTCAAATTCATTTTGAATTATTACTGATGGTGTAATTTAGTTTTTTTGACTTGACTCATTTTCTTTAATACTTAAAAAAAAAGAGTATGTATTTTAATGAAAACAATGAAGTCATTGCTCTATTAAAACCCAAACCAGCCCTGGTCGGTTTGTCTCAGTGTTTAGAGAGTCAGCCTGCAGTTCAGAGAGACCCAGGTTCAGTTCCCGCTAAGGGCATGTGCCTCGGTTGCAGTTTGTCCCCGGCCCTGGTTGGGTTGTGCGGGTGGCAGCCACTTGATGTGTCCCTTTCACGTCAATTTTCCTCTTTCTCTTTCTTTCCCTCCTACTCTATCTGAACAAAAAATGGAAAGGTGTCCTCGGGTGAGGATTAAAAAAAAAACAAACAAACAAAAAACCAAAAACCTGTGTCATTAATATAAAGGTAGGAGATGGTTGGAGGTAACAGATCTCTCAGGTCAATCCTTAGGTCAGTAGTGACACTAAGAACCAGCAGGCTCCGTTTGAATTATGTCAGCAGTGTAACGCCACCAGGTTAGTGACAACCAGTGTGTGCCAAAGCTAGCATGTTCTTTTTATACAAAGTATTTCAAAATAAATATGCTGAGTATAATTCCATGTTTTGAGGTGGCAGAAATGATGAAATATATAATGACCATTTGTGGAAAGAGTTTTGCAAATCTGATTAATACAGTGCATGGTCCAATTGTAGTTGACATTATGTTCTGACTCAGTCAAGATTTTCCATAAAACCTGGAGACAACAATAACTAAATTGAAGTTTTATGCAGCGATATCTGCCTGAGATTAGCTAACTGTACTTGCATTTTTGTTTTAAATGAGCAGATAGTTCTGTTTCCTTGCAGTAGTACACAAATATGTGAATACATATATTCTCAAATTAAATTTTCTACTTTGAATAGAAATTAAAGAATGAAGAGCTCTGCAAAAATATAATTATCTTTCAGTTCACCTGTCTTATCAATTTTATAATAACTAAAATGATCAGAAAATATGAAAATGCTGCAAAAAATAAAATCATGCCCGGAAGACCATAATAAGATTTTTTTAAGACAGTCTAGTAAGTGAAAGTGTCCTCATGATTAAAGGACTAAAATTTATATAATTTGTAATAGAAAAATGTAGGAAAAAGTTTAAATAGTAAACCTTAATGACACCTACCTCTGTTGGTTTTTGTTTTTTGGTTAATCCTCACCCTAGAATATTCTTCTATTGATTTTTAGATAGAGTGGAAGGTAAGGGGGGGAGAGAGAGAGAAACATTGATGTGAGAGAAACATTGATGTGAGAGAAACATCAACTGGTTGCCTCCCTCATGAACCTGACTGGGATCAAACCTGCAATCCAGGTACATTCCCTTGACCAGGAATTGAACCCAAGGTACTTCTGTCCGAGGTATTGATGCTCTAACTGCTGAGTCAAACTGGCCAGTGTTACACCTAGCTGTTTTTGTTTTGTTTTGTTTTTTCTTGTATTGATTTTAGAGAGAGAGGAAGGGAGAGGGAGAGAGAGAGAGAAACATTGATGAGAGAGAACATCAATTGGGTGTCTCCTGCATGCCCCCCACTGGAGATTTGGCCCAAAACCTGGCCATGTGCCCTAACTGGGAATTTAACTGGCCACCTCTTGGAGCATGGGTTGATGTTCAACCACTGAGCCACACGGCTGGGCTGTTTTTTAATGTAATAATTTTTCATCTTTCATTTCCTTTTCATTCACATGCATGTAGCCATGCAATCACAGTTACCACTCTCTTAGGGAAAAGATGTTCATGGGCTTATCCTTAGCTGCCTCTTTGTATTTAGTGAGTACAGAGTTCCAAGTCTGAAGGTCCAGATGTTTGAGAAGTTAGAGATCAAAGAGAAGGGTGAATAATGAAAATGAAAAATATTTTCAAAGCTGCATCACAGTTGTAGTAACATAACTAAGGAACTGTTTTTTTGTTTTGTTTTGCATTTTGCCTTTTTCAGGGTTTATTTATTTATTTAGTTATTTTGCTTTTTTGTTTTTTTGAAAGACAGTGTGGTAAAAAGTAAACAGGACTGGACAGGAGTCACAAGATTTGACTCAGGTCTACTCTCATTTATGAATTGCCCAGGACTTAATTTCCTGGAAAACTTCAGGAGTTTTAAAGAATCAGGTAAAACACAGCAAGGTGCTTCTTTCTCTTCTTGCCGAGGAGCCCTTTCCATATTTTCATATTATTTAGTATTTCTTACTTTTATATATATATAAAAATTGTATAAATTATATATCATATATAATAAATTATATATTATATATTATAATAAATTATATATATTATATATATAATATATATATATAATATTGTACCTTAGAACAGCAACCTCGCTTAAAACTATGCAAGTAGAGCTCTGGCCAGTTTGGCTTAGTGGTTGGAGTGTTGACCCGTGGACCAGAGAGTCCAGGGTTCAGTTCCTGCTAAGGGCATGTACCTTGGTTGCAGTTTGTCCCCGGCCCTGGTTGGGGTCGTGTGGGTGGTAGACACTCAATGTGTCTCTCTCACATGGATGTTTCTCTCTCTCTCTTTCTCCTTCTGTCCTTCCCACTCTATCTGAAGATAAATGCTAAAGTCTCCTCGGATGAGGATATATATATAAAAAAAAAATGCAAGTAGAAACTATCTTATAGTGAGAGCCTAAATAACTATCAAGTGAAATACAAAATTTTAAGGTTGAAAATGTTTTTAAAGTAAATGGAAAAAATTATAAAAGTACGTTTCTGGTCCTGGCCAGTTTGGCTCAGCAGTTAAAGCGTTGGTCCTAGAACTGAAGGGTTGTGGGTTCAATTCTGATCAAGGGCACCTACCTCCCTTGCAGTTCGATCCCCGCCCCTGGTTGTGGTCCTGCGGGGGGCAACCATTTGATGTTTCTCTCTTCCTCCCTCCCTACCTCCCTCTCATTATATCTGAAAAAAATCAATGGAAAGATATTCTCAGGTGAGGATTAAAACTAATAATAATAATAATAAAATAAAAGTATGTTTCTGTACTATTTAGTATTCCTTTTGGAGCCTTAATTTAATATGTTGACTCTGAAAATGAGTAGTTAGTTTAAGAAAACTGAAGGCACTATTTGCAGGATTGAGATTTGAAAGACTAACCTAACTGAAAGTGTTAAATCTAGTAGAGATCCAGAATTTTACCTCATTTTCTAAAAAAAAATTATCAGCAACCACCCCAAAAAAACAACTGTGTGATCAGCGTAACTAATGTAGGGCAGGCACCTACAGATTGCAAACGCTCTCTAGGGTCCTTTTGGAGCACATATAGCCGATTTAGAGTCATTTTCTCCTTTCTGTTGCTTCTAGTGGGACTCAGATTCAAGCAATCTGAACTCTGTTGTCAACCTATAACCTCTTTGTGATGAGGAAAAGATTGGGCTGTGGTGTCCTGAGTGTGACAATGTAAGGTTTATCTGGGGAAACTGTTTGCTGTGATACCCAGTTGTTCTAAGGCTAACTGAAGGTGATAGGTAATTCTAAAAGCGATGTGCAGAGTTTATAAGGAAAACATAAGCAACAAGTTTGAGAATAGACTTTTTTAAGTTTCAAAGACATTGTAGTTGAAATATGTCTAAAGCTTAACCTTATTTTCAACCCTGCTCTTCATTTTCTACAAACAATAAAGATTTTTCTCTATAAATCTTAAATTTTCTCTAGCTATTTTTTTTATTCAAGTTCATAACAGGTGCATAATTATGACTTCACAAATCTTCAGAACTATTTCCCCAGACTCTCCCAAGTTAAAACTGTTTTGATTAGAATTGTACTAGCTTTCTCTAAAAATCACATACAAATTGTTTCATTCTCACTTAAAAGCAAAGTATCATTTGCCATTAAAATTCTTTCTGGTATTAATATAAAATTTATTTCTCTAGTAATCTGTACTCTAACTATTGGATACATTTTTTTTTCCTTTATTGATTTATAGAGAAAAAGGAAAGGAGAGGGAAAGAGAGGTAGAAACATCAATGAGAAAGAACATCAATTGGCTGCCTCCTACATGCCCCACTTCTTGGAGATACGATCTCCTGGTGGCCAGGGAACTTGAACCTGGCCCTGGGAAGCTACCAGCCCACGTTCCTTGTTCTGAGCCTGGGTGCGGATGGGCATGATGACTTGACCAACGGCCCCCTACCCTGAGGCTTTCCAGAGGCCCCTCGCAGGCCTGTCTGAGAGCCCAGCACAGGACAGCCTCCTGTCGATGCGGATGACATGGAAGGATGGAGCTGCACCGCCACGTGAAAGCCATCTTTGCCCCAACTTCTCACCATGTGTTCCAGGGCTTCGGAAGAGCACCGCTCAGACTCATCAGACACCGTGTGGCCACAGAGAGGGAACTCATCCACTGCTGCCTTTTCCGATGCAGGTCAAAGACGCGGATCTTGGCATCAGGGACACCTCGGCAACAGCGAAACTCCGGATACGGCTGGTTCCAATACCGGCGACAGCGCGGGACGGCGGCGCCAGGAACCTTCGCAGCCAGCTCCACACCACGCATGCGTCGTGCATGCATTGCCATCGACTCACAGGGCACCGTAGGGTCTCGCCGAGGACGTGAAGATGCTGTTTTACCTCCTCCCCGCCACAGATGCTGCAACACTCCACAGCTGCTGTGGGCACAGCTGGCCCCGAGCCGAGTGCAGAGGCGGCGGCTTGTCGCCGGGGGCCACCAGGTAGGACCTGGGCGTCCACCGTGGGCCTGGCAGCCGGTTCCTTCTTTCTCTCCGTGGTGGGTGCACACCTTTGCCCTGGGCTTTGTCTTAGTATGAAAGACACATTTTCCTAGAGATCAGATAACAAAGGTCTCTCCAGCTAGTCCACATACCGCATCTAGTTTGTCTAAATAATATATTTTCCAGAGTTCGCGTCTCCTATCAACTCTGTGTATCAGCTGCTTTTTCTCAAAGAGTGTGTGGTCACCTGCCCTGGGGAGCATGGGTTCTTGGCATGAGCTCCCTGGAAGACCCTGGAAAGCTGAGCTCGGTGGTGACAGGGGTAGAGGGAAGGCATCTGTTATACACGTGGCGTGATGATTGCCTTGAAACCCCAAAACTCCGGTTGTTTTATGCATTTGGCCATATGGAATGGCTTTATTATCAAAACAGCATCCGCAAAATTGAAATACCAACTGAATTTTTTTTTATTTATTTTTTTTTTTTTATCCTCACCCGAGGACATTTTTCCATCTTTTGTACAGACAGAGTGGGAGGGAGAGAGAGGAAGAGAGAGAGAGAGAAACATCGACGTGAAGGGACACATCGAGTGGCTGCCACCCGCACGACCAACCAGGGCCGGGGACAAACTGCAACCAAGGTACATGCCCTTAGCGGGAACCGAACCCGGGTCTCTCCGGACCGCAGGTGGGCGCTCTAACCGCTGAGCCAAACCGGCCAGGGCCCAACTGAATTTTTTAACTTAAGGCTGTTTACATTTTCATGCTTTATTAATCTTATATCTTACTGAGAATGAGTTTGATAAGTTTTCCCTTTGACATTAGATTTCATAAAAATATTATGATTAGGATCAGAGTGTGGGGAAGGAGGAAAGTAAAAGATAAAAATAATTTACAAATGGTCTATAATCCCTACTTGGATTTTTCCTATTTGGATTTTGGATTCTTTTATGCTATTTCAGAAATCCGTGACATCATGGGACAAAACCTGTCCAGTGTGAGTATATTCTTCCAATGCTTTCTCTTCAACAGGGAAATAAATAAAGTGTCACAAAATAACTCCCGCATTTGAAGCGAGTGGGGTTTTACAAAATACTCATATTAAAGTAAAAATATTAAAGCTCCCAGTGTAGAGAACTTACTCACCTTATAAAGGAGTTGTTTACATCTCCATTTTTTCTTCATGTCTGCCGTCCTATTTTCCTCAAATAGTTTCTATTTACTATGTAAGCTTGAATATGGAGATAAAGCAGCAAATAATATTGTGTTGCTCTCACTGAGCTTTCCAGCCTAGGAATGGATTTAGATGCTACTTCAATAATATTTCATCATGTTACAAAATACAAAATGTGCCCAGAAGGCAAGGCAGAGTGAGCCCCGAGAGCCTGGGATAAGGCCCTGATTTAGACTGAGTAATGAACAGGGAAGACTTTATCAGGAAAGAGATCTTACATAGAAACAAAAAGCCTCCCAAAGTCACATAGATACGGTGACCGTTTTGACAGTTTCCAGAGGGGAGTAGGGTTTGGGGAGAATGGGTGAAAAAGGTGAAGGGATTAAGTACAGATTGGTAGTTACAGAATCGGCCTGGGGATGTAAAGTACAGCATAGGGAATATTGTGAATATTTTAATAACTGTGCATGGTGTCAGATGGGTACTAGATTTACCAAGGTGACTACTTTGTAACTTACATAAACCTCTAATCACTGGGTTGTACATCTGAAACTAATAAAATATTGCATGACAACTGTAATTGAAAAATAACAAGTTATTGAAAAAATAAGCTGTAAAATGATGTTCTCAACTTCTCTTCCTCGATCTGTAAAGTGGATATATTTAAAGGTCAGTCCTCATGAAGTTATAAAAACATTAACTGGAATAATAAAATGGGTATATTTTGTATACAGTAAAACAGAAAACCTTCTAAATTCAATGCTTTATCCGTCGGAATACTTCTTTCATAATTAAAGAACCTTTACATCGAATCATTAATGTTGATTGCTTACTTTCTTTAAAAAATTTTTCTTCAGTAAATAAAGAGGTCATCCATTAAACATACATGATTCATTTAACCTGAAATACAATTGGATGTCATGATATAAATGATTAAGTAATTTCAATATTTAAATATTATTTTCATGCAGGTCTCTAAACCTAGTAAGCCCCACAAACTTCCTACTATTGGCAAGCAACTTGGGCAGTAGGAGAAAAATAACATTACTTGCATCATTTTACCTTTTAAATAAATAGGCAGGAACTTGCATCTAAAACACAGGAAGTGCATGCACTGAAAATGTGGGAGGGCAAGCTTCATACACAGCACCTGCAGCCCAGATCAGTGTTTCTTGACTTTTTCTGTTGGACTAACTCCTTTTAAGAGAGAACTCTTTTAATTATATATATATATGTATATATGTAAATTCTGTGTTGATTCAAGTCATCTTTAGTATAGCTTTTATTATTATGCTTTATTATAACAAGCTTATAATTTATTATATAAATTATATATTTGTCATACCATTAAATATTTATAAAACTACACATTAATTACCATATAAGACTGATTAATGGCTTATAAATTTTGTATAAGTATGAAGCCTAAATAAGGAAAGTAAACATTTACAAACTAAAATCAATCAAATTTTTATGAGCATATTATGCACTACTTCTTGTTGATTTAATCCTCACCTATTTTTTCCAATGGTCTGGAACAATGTAAACTATCACTTATTCCAGGATAACTTATCCTATGCTACCAAAGCACAAAGGTCAGTAGTGTATTTACTCAGTTCACTATTATAAAACACAAATTCCCAATGAATAATCAAAATGTATAAAATATCAATCAAAAAGTTAATTAGGCTCCCGGGACTAATTTTTCTATTTGGAAAATGTGCATTTGTAAAATAGATAAGGGGACCATTTGAATGAGGTAAGAGACAGGCATCCTGACCCCCCCATCAGTCATCAGTCATGACAATAGATACCATTGGCTGACTGAAGAAAAGGCCAACCACAACCATGACTCTTTTACATTCACTACTCAAGTCTAGGAAAATATAATCAAGTTGCTCATGGGGGCTCTCACACATATTGAGTTTACAACCTCCAGTGTGAAGTTACTAAGAAACACTAATGAAAATGACTGTTCATCATTAGTGGAGGCATCACACCTCACTGAAATCCCACATGGGGACATAATCTCTGAATCACGGTATATTGTCAAACAGCAAGTGATGGAAAGCTGTATAATGACTCAGTGATCAGAAATGCAGACTGTTGCAGCAGCAGGAGAGAAAATGCAGGGTGCACATCAGTCAGTATATTAGACTCTAGCGCATATTTTTCTTTGAGAACATATTCAGGTTTAGTGCTTTGTGTAATGGTTGAAATGTGATTATCAAAGAAAAGGCAGTGTTGCATTGATCGGATACACAGAACAGTTCTTTTCTAGTCTTTGCATGAAAGCAGAGAATACTGGGAATTGGATTGTATTTCTAGCATTGTCCAGTGCTACTTCCAAGTATTTAAAGGCTTCCTTGATGCATAACTAATCAATAAGTGCATAATAGTGCAGATCTCTTACACAGGGCTTGTGGACCAGGAGAGAGAAACCATGGACGAAAGGCTTATTCACAGTCAAAGCTGAAATTTCAGGTCTAAACATGTTTACTTGTTTTACTTGCTTTATAAAAGCTCCTAGAAAATGATCTGTCCCCAACCATCCCCAAATTTATTATTTCAGGTTATGTATTAGTAACTTTAGCCATGTTTGATTTTTCTATTTTTCTTTGGTAAGCACAAATTACTGCATTAATTCTCGCTGGAGGGTATGTTTTTATTGATTTTTACAAAGAGAGGAAGGGAGAGAGAGAGAGAGACATTTATCAGTTGCCTCCCGTAGGCACCCCAACTGGGGATCAAACCTGCAACCTAAGTATGTGCTCTGACTGCGAATCGAACCAGCAACCTTTTGGTGCACAGAATGACTCTCCAACCAACTGGCAAAAGCTGGAAGGCTTTTTAAAAAGTTTCGCCTCACTTGTCAATTATTTTTATCCATTTGCATTTTGTTTTGTTTTTCTCCAGTGGCAGCAAATACTAAGGACTGTATCAGAGACAACACGCCATACAGTTTGAGACACATGGTAAATCACTACATTACTGATTAGCTTAGTCTCTAAAAATAATTTAGCATTGCTCAAAGCTTCTGGGAGTAATCTAGTGTCTTTTCTCTGCCTAGGAACATTGGTCATACTGGATAGTCTAACAGCGTGACTTAAAGTAAGTAATAACCATTCCAGAAAAGCCAACAATGTGGTGTAGGCTTTTGGGTCAGTGGTATCATTTGACCTGGAGACTTGCATTAGTCATATGCATAATCAGTCAATCAGTCATGGCTGCATAATGAAGTTTCAATAATAACTTTGAACACTGGATCTTGAGCAAGATTTTTGGTTTGCAAAAACACCTTATACATTGTCAGAAATCAATAGAAGTGTGATGCAACCTAACTCAGTGGGGAGAGACAGTGGAGGGCCAAATCTGGTACTTTTCCTGGACTATACCTATGCACTTTTTCCCTTGGCTAGTTTTAATCTGCTTCCTTCCCTGTAATAATTGCCTTCAGTGAGTTCTGTGAGTCTTTATCAAACCTTAAGGTGGCTTGGAGAATCCCTCAAATCTGTAGTTTATGTCAGAAATGAGTCCAGACTTGTGGACTGTAAATTCTAACTTTGTAGTTGGCTCAAACACTCTATAATTTCCATCTGTCATCCCCACAAACCCAACAAACCACATGTAAATGGTGGGACACTCACACAAA